TGGGTGTAAATTGTAAAAATTAACGTCTAAACGGAAATTTGCTCAGGACTGACTCTGTAAAGGGCGATGCCGCAGACTTGTGCCGCGTGTTGTGATGCGTACGTGCCATTACTCGCACAGTGCAAACAGGGAAATGATGTGATTTTTAACAGGTATTTTTTTGTCGTGTTGAGTATCATTTTATTAAAAGTTACTACTAGTGTTTTAAAATGGGCAAAAGCCAATAGCTGTCGCCTCTCTGGATTGCTGTAGCCGTGTCTGCATTTGGCTAAGAGCGTGTCTCTAAACCAGTGCGACCAACTGACGGCAGGAGGGTGCCCTCGGCCCTCGCGCGAGGCTTCATCCCCCGGGCTCTCGCAGTCCCGGCGCGGAGCCCCAAGCAGAGCTGCCACGCTGCGTGTCGGTGTCGGGGGGTTTCCAGCTCCGACGTGAGCCGAGCGAATCATGCTGCAGTCCTTGCATGTTCGCAGAGGTGAGCAAGAGTGGTTCATGCTGGAGTGCCACCTGCCATGGGTTATTCTTAAAAAAAAAAAAGAAAAAAAAAAGAAAGAAAGAAACCCAAACTTTTCCTGATGTGTGCTGTTAAAAATATGCTGAGGTTCCCCTCCAGTCTGGAGCTAGAACCAAATGGTAAAACCACCTCAATTTTTTTAAAAGAAACACAGTGAGTCTTGGAGCATTTCAGGCAGGTGAAGTACTTTGTCTCCAGCACCTCTTTCACGCCTCCATCTTCTTGCAAATTACCTGTCCGTCGTGCTGTGCCTTTGCGAGTCCGAGAGCAGACTATGGGGAAAGGATGTGTTGGAACATTCTCCCTTCAGATAGTGCCCAACAAGCTTGGTGCTCCTACAAAATGTGAAGCAAACTAAGACAGGTAGCATTTGATTTTTTTTTTTCAATAAATGTGCATATTTCCATAATAATAAACAATTAATTCCTTACGGACTAACTGATAGATTGATACCAGGATATTTGTGACGAAAGGAGAGCATCCTTTTAAGTGCTGGAACTTTCTTTTCCTCCTCATGGCTTGTGGAGTAGGCAAGACTTCTGCTGTATTTGCATCATTACAGTGGTTTATCAGAGCCAAAAAATGCAGTGAGGCCCCCCCCCCCAAAGTTGCCTCTTGG